CTGGCGGAACAGCAGCAACCAGGGATTGAACCGCTGACCTTCCGATTAACGGCTCTACCTCCTGAGCCACAGCCGCCCCGATACATACCTCATGCTTTAATTATGTTAGTTCGCAATACCTCTTAATGTCTTATTTTTGTTAAATAAACATATGGTGTTAACCTTTTACCATGGTGTGTCTTCCTGTATATGTATGTATGTATTATTATTTTTTTTAAACTGAAGTCACACAGTTTAGTTTTAATGAGCCTGTGTTTGTAGGAAAACATTATGTTATAATATGTTTTAGAATCTCACTGCTGATACTGAAACTGTGATGATCAGGTGGGATTCAAACCCAGGCCACTGCAGTAAGGACTCAGCCTTGTTCATGGGGCACAACCTCTACCAACTGTTACTTTCAAAATAACAGAAATGACAACAACTAATTTGATGAACTGGTCTTTATTATGTAGAAATAATCAAAATTACATCACTTTATTCATGAAACACGATTAGAGAGTGACTGAAGGAAAGAAAGAGACACAGACACAGAGAGAGTTACAGAGTTCAGAGAGCAGAGTAAAACCAGTAGCAAAGTCCCAGTGAGTCAGGTCAGGACTGGGAACACTGGTCTCTCCTCAGTGTCTCTGAGACCAGAGCCTGGGAGCCCTGGGTGGCCTCACAGGTCACAGAGCCCACCTTCCTCCACTGGTCTGCAGGGAGCCTCAGGGTGCTGCTCCAGCTTTAGCGGCCGTCCTTCTCCGCTGGAGGGGGGCAGCACCGTCAGGGTGGGACGGACATCACCTAGGAGACACCAATCAGCTTAGAGGACACCTTTACTGTGTGAGAGCTGATTTTCTCCTTTAAGGAGTTTCTGTCAGATGTTTTTCTGCTCCACCAGTCACTCACTCACACATTGTTTCACTTCCCTTTAAGAAGCCTCTCATGCAAATCAGCACAGAGAGAATCATCATACAGAACAACCTGAAATATATCAAACTACACTGGAAATAAATAACAAACTTTCTTAACAAGATCATCAACAAATTTAACAATACAATAATTTTTTCAGTGGAAACCAAAACAGAAATGAACTGAGAAGATGTTCTTTATCTGGATTTCAATCATCACCAAAGTGTTTCTTCACTTACATTAACAGCTATAATGATGAGTTGAACCACTAGATACAGTTTAAACATCTTTACTGTTCAAGTGCAAATTCAATCATACAAGTATCACTCCTCAGCTGTATAACTTCACTTATTGACAGATATTCTGACCATTTTGTTAACTTACAAAAGTAGTGCAAGTTGTCCTTTCACTTTCATATGTGGAAATATTGTATTCTTTTTCCAAATAAATAATAATATGCAACATTTTTAAAACACCCTTCGTTATCTTCACTTCAATTTCACCTGTAGAAAGTGAATTGTATTTAATCAGAACAACAGCTATTATTGTGGTGAACATTTTAAACTAAACTAATCTAAACATTTTTACATTAAAGTTTTATATTTTCTCCACTTCAATAATTGATGAGTGATTCAATGATTCGAACCCTGCTCTGAGTTAGCCTCCATGGTAAAGGAAGAGAAATTAAAACATGAACAATAAAAGTTTTATAATTAAACCAAGATCTATTTACCTGTTGTGGTGTCCGAACAACAATGCTGCGATGATGTGTTGAGAAGAAATGACACTGTTCTTGATCATAAAAGTTTATTAAATCAAGGAGTTCAGCATCAATTACAAGCTCTGCAGCAGCTTGGAGAGCGACCCAGCCCGATGGCCACTCTGTCTCTCTGTACATCAAACATAGCTTATATAGGATATGTGTAGGTATCTGTTAGATACCATAGAAGGGTTTGAGTCTGCAAAATAAAGCTCCGACCCATAGAAGGGTACAGTACTATTCTGAGGTAACAAAACAAGGGGTTGGAGGTCAAACTCTATAGAAGGGTTCAGTCCCTACATAACCACCAATCACTGCTCTCCCCTTAGGAGGTCACTGACCCTCTGTCCTGCTGCTAAAGTGCTTAAACTGTTATGAGTCAAATGCACATATATTGGATACCACACTGTCTTAAACTTTCAAAAGCTGAATTTAAAGTATGACTTGAAAATATTGTATTTAGTATATGAGCAGAAACTTACTTCCAACATCCAGTCTGGTTCCTCCACCGAACGTTTCCCACATTGATACAAACTCCGCCGTACAAAAACCTCTCACTGTAGAGAGACACGGCTCTCTGACTTTAACACAAACAAACTCACCAAAAATAGTTTCTGTTTGTAACATTTTATCAGCTGACATGTGAAAATAAGACTTGAATGAATGTTTTAATTGTTAATTTTAAAATAAATTTATACATTTTCTTCTCTAGCAATTAACTGAAATAAGTCAGTATGTGTCTAGAAGCATGAAACCAAAATAATGTAAAATATATTTTTTAAATGTCTTATCAATACTGATTGATCCATTGATAAACAGCATCATCAGAGTAATCCAAGTCCCTGTTGGAGTCAGTCAGAGCATTTCCATAGAGAGCCACTTTGCATCAGCAGCACCATGCTCCAGTGCTCTGGGAGAGTTTATAGTCCTGAGAGTTGAACACTGGATGACTGACAGCTGTCCTTCATGACAACAGAAGCCACAGAAATCCTCCTCATCAAAAACATGACTTTGATCTGCGTCCTCATCTGGACTCTCCTCTGCTGCTGCTTCACAGGTAAAGTCCAGAGAATCAAACTCCTCTCCTCTATGAACATCCGTCCCTCTGAAATGAAGCCCACAAAACCATGACGCTGCTTTATGTTTTTGTCTCTGTATCCTCAGAGTCCAGAGGCCAGGTCACAGTGACTCAGCCTGGAGCAGTGAGCTCTGCTCTGGGAGGCTCCGTCTCCATCAGATGTAGGACCAGTCAGGATGTTTATAATTCTGACCATTTACACTGGTACCAACAGAGAGATGGAGAAACACCTAAACTCCTCATTTATCGTGCTAGCACTCGAGCATCAGGGATTCCAGATCGTTTTACAGGCAGTGGATCAAACTCTGACTTCACTCTGACCATCAGTGGAGTCCAGACTGAAGATGCAGCAGTTTACTACTGTCAGAGTTTTCATGTTATCAACAGTCAGTATGTGTTCACACAGTGAAAAAGCGTCGTACAAAAACCTCCCTCAGTCAGACTAAACAGAAACTGAACTGACTGCTGCAGCTGGAAGCTACTGCAGAGACTGATACACTTCACTGAGGACACACACACACACACACACACACACACACTTTCATCAAATAGATTGAACATTTCAACATGTTTGAACTAACCACCTATGAACATGTATCACTACAAGTTCAATGAGTAAATATATCTTAGTGCAAATCAAATAAATTTCTCCATCACAGCTTCTCACCATTCATCCATATCTCATTATAATCCCATTGTCTTGTCTGGTTTGCCAATTAATAAAAAAGAGCCAAACTGGGACAGTTAATGAGAAAGGTATCGGTCATCACCTTTGACCTCAGCCTCTCACTGGATCACAGCTTTTTCAGCTATTTCCAGTTAAAATAAAATATGAACACACATCAGCACCATTAACCTTCATAACCAAAGATGGCAGAGCAGGACAGAGAGGGCAGATGTAAAGGACAACATGTAGCACAGACTTACTGCTTCTGTTAAAATGGCTTCCTTTCACACCACCTCCTACCTGCTTTAGGATAACAGATAAACACTGTCTGGTTGTACTGACAAAACTATCAGATGTGTTCTGTACATGGCCCTTAATGCCTTTTTTTATTATCACCTGATCTTATAAAATACTAGTTATCTGACCCTGTGGTAAACCCGGTCTCTAAAGGAATGTGATTATTAAAAACAAAGACAGTAGTTATTCCCGTAATTGGACACCACTGATGAGATGAATAGGTCTTTATTTATTTTTTCTACATACACAGACTGAGTTGTCATCACTTTCATTGGGCCTGTTATTTAAAACATTCCTGGGGTTAAAATCTCACTGTCATGTTGTATCACTTTATGCTGATTATATCCTGCTCTTTATTTCTGTTGCTAAAAATAAGATTCTTGACATTCTTATATTTATTCAGAGAAATAAAACTTACCATAATTTCTGGCTACAAATTAGGTCTAAACAACATATAAATCTTTATTAAGAGGAATCTCCTGTGATACGAGATAAATGGTGGTTTTATATTAACATGCTTTATAGTTAGTGGTACCCCAGTTATTAAAGTATGAACAAGTGACATAAAAAAAATACAGTCTTGCTATTATTGTGTCTTCATACCTTATTCAAATGACTGGTCCTATTATTAGATGTATGGCAAAAAAAGAAAATCATGACATGTCAAACTTGATAAAAAATATAAATATAATCCACAAGGAAAGCAGTATTTGATGAGATTTTTTATTGTGTTGAACTATTAAAACCACTAATAATACAACAGGCAAGAACACTTGATGTTAAAACGTGTAAAGGGAAAAAGACAGAACCAGAGAGAGAGAGAGCACATATGAAGTTTTCATGAATTTGGATAAAACTTTTTGGTCTCTGCCTTATTGATCAACAATAAAGAGCATAACAACACGCAGTAAATATTCAATAACTTACAAATGAGAGTTAAAGATTGCCAGATATTGAGACATATGTAAAAGAAGGGTTTCTTTTCTCATCTGCTGAGCTCAGTAACCTTGGCATAAGGCAGGCATCACTGCTGAACCATGGCAACAAACAGGTTTCACTACAAATTTAAAGAAGTTGAAATGACATTTTGTTCCTGTGATGCATTCATGTTTAAAGGTTCAGTGTGTAAGTTTTAGTAGCATTTCGTGGTGAGGGTGGCGATTTGCAACCAACGGCTCACTGTGCATTCACGTGCTCCTCGGATGGTCCCATTTCCCGAGTTGTGAAGTGGTTCTTCCGACTTCTGGTGTGTTCATGCGCTCTTATGTCGGAATGTAGCCACAGAAATTCTCCTCATCAAAAACATGACTTTGATCTGCGTCCTTATCTGGACTCTCCTCTGCTGCTGCTTCACAGGTAAAGTCCAGAAAATCAAACTCCTCTCTTTTATGAACATCCGTCCCTCTGAAATGAAGCCCACAAAACCATGATGCTACTTTATGTTTTTGTCTCTGTATCCTCAGAGTCCAGAGGCCAGGTCACAGTGACTCAGCCTGGAGCAGTGAGCTCTGCTCTGGGAGGCTCCGTTTCCATCAGATGTAGGACCAGTCAGAATGTTGAAGTTTGGAGCAACTACCACCTTTTAGCCTGGTACCAACAGAGAGATGGAGAAACTCCTAAACTCCTCATTTACTCTGCTAGCACTCGAGCATCAGGGATTCCAGATCGTTTTACAGGCAGTGGATCAAACTCTGACTTCACTCTGACCATCAGTGGAGTCCAGACTGAAGATGCAGCGGTTTACTACTGTCAGAGTCGACACTATATCAACAGTCAGCATGTGTTCACACAGTGAAAAAGTGTCTTACAAAAACCTCCCTCAGTCAGACTGAACAGAAACTGAAGTGACTGCTGCAGCTGGAAGCTACTGCAGAGACTGATACACTTTACTGAGGACACACACACACACACACACACACACACACACACACACACACATACTCAACACATACAAAATTTCATTAAGTGGACTGAAAATGTCACCATTGTTCCTTTAACAGCTATTGTGCATGGCCATGACCTTTGACCTCTATCTCATTCAGGCTCCAGTTTAAAGGAAATATGAAGACAGATCAGCATCAGACACCTTCATGGTAAAAAATGGTCCAAACAAAACTCCCTCAACTCACAAAATATTATTTCAAATATAAAAATGTTGTTACGACCCGTGAGGTCTGTGGGTTGTGCTTGTGTTGCTGTGGGTGTCTCTGTCTCTTTTCTGCAGGTCTGTACCTGGGCCCTGAGCCTGGCGCTGCGTAAATCCTGCAGCTGGAGCTGGTCAGCGGCCATCAGTGGGTTACAAGCTGAGCCAGTGAAGTGCTCTGACTCTCACTCTTCCTTGGCTGCTCGTGTTAGACTGTATGACTTACTGTGTGGTTTATTGTGTGGTCCGTAGCGGGACGTGATCTTAACTCCTTCTCGCGCTGTGTGTCTGGTGACTCTGTTGAGGCAGCCGTCGGCCCGGTGTTCACGACCAACTGGAAGCCGGTGTAGTGAGAGGAGCGGCGATCTCCACATGTGCCTCACCAGCACTTTGGGAGCCGTAGAGACCGTGTATTGTGTTGCATATTTTTCGCTGAATAACTTGTTAATTAATTTACTTTACATAACAAACCCCATATCATCTCTGTTAGGATGAAAGATCGCTTTAAGTTGTTAAACACCTTTTTTTGTTACTAATTTGAAATAAATACATTAACTTGACGTGTTTTGGGTCACCCATGGTTTTTTCCACCCGGTTTATTTCTCTTTGTTAGTCCCACGCCCCTAGACAAGCCGGGGACGTGACAGTTGTGTAAAGAACAGCTAAATATCAATTGGAATTATTAAAAAATCATGAATCACGTACGTCATCTGACTACATCTACACATTACTATTACTGAATACAAAGCATTTTTTTTATATGCAACAAAAAATTCAACAAATACATTGACATTTAAAGTTCTTTCTTGAACTTGGAATCAGAAATACAATCTCTGCACAAACTCTCTCCACTTAATGTTGTCAGTCTCAGAACTATGTTGGGGAATACAACATTGGCTCTATTGTCTCTGGAGACAGGAGCTAACACAAGATGAATGTACAAATCCTTATTAATGTGGGAAACAACAGCTACAACTTTATAATGGAGGAAACTGTAGTAAATTTTACATTCAGCAACCGTGTTATTGGACTTTGTGGTCCAGCAACGTCATACTGTACAAAATGAACTTGTGTATCATAGAATGACACAGATATAAACAAGAAACAGCGATCTCTAAATTTCTTTGGAATCTTCCATACAATATTCGTTCAACTTTTCAAATTCGTTTCAATGCCACATGTGTTACCATAAAAACATTTAAGAATAACTCAATTGGTGACAGCAAATCAAGTGTTGAATGAAACATTTAGGAACAAACAGAAGAGTAAACAATGAATATCAACCTGTGAAAGGAAAATAAATGTGATATGAAGAAGATAAAAAATTTTAAAGCTGCGGTTGCACATTTGTATAAATCTGTCTCCACAGCACAGCAGGCGATTGATAGATGGCAGACATGTGCATTAACTCTGTTAGAAAAGAAAAGCAGTTACTGTCTCTTAAATTGCTATACAGAGCAATAATAATGGTGCTGAAAAGATGATTAGTACTGGCAGAAGTTGGTTTGTGTAGCAGACCTCGGCTACGTAAAATTTTAATACAGTTATGAAAATTAATATTTCCGGGAATATTAATTTTATACCTCGAAATTAGGAGCACCACCTAAAGATTTGCTTGTCCGCCCAAGGCTTTAGGTCCTTGAGTATAGCCTGAGAATTATACCGAGTTCGGTTAATTCATTAGTTGTTATTCTGAAATCGTAAGGTCAATCAGTCAGTCTCAGATCTGAGCGTAAGTTCTGTGTATAGGGACTCTAGATTCTGAATAACACACACACATACATCGCTGTGCTCAAAGTGAATTTATTAACTAACAGAAGAGGGTACAATTGTGGGTAAATGTGGTAATAGGGATAACAGTTAATATGACAACAAGGAGGTACTAAAACAGGGTAGCCTATGTAAGGTTCGATTGAGTTTGAGTTTATTGTAGAGGGAGAGAATTCTACGAGTATGAGGGAACAAATGACCGAAATTGGATTGCAGATTTAATTTGTCTAATCTAAGGGTTATTAACTGTGGATGGAGCCCATAGAACACCAACGAGTCACAGAGTGTTGTTTGTTTTGGCCTGCCGTTGCCGCAGGTCCCGTGGCGAGGCTCGACTGCCGGTTGGCTCGGGAAGTCTGTTCTGGCCCGACCCCAGTGGCGTTTTCAAGTTGGGTTGAAACCGGTGGATTGGTTCCGGAGTCCTCTTGTGGGAAGCGCTTGCAGCAACAGGCTGTCAGCCAAGGCTTTTGCTCTGATCTCAGTTCGTTTGGTGTCGCTATAGGGCACACTCAGGGTTTTGCCGTTAGAGCCGTATTTTCATTTATTCAAGGCCATAAATGAAGGCTTCTGAGTTTCTGGTCCAAAGTTGCTCACAACGGTCGGATGAGGTTGCAACAACAAAATCAAATAAACTCACACATTCACCGTAGGTTCGCGAGGCCTCGGGAATATCGGCTATTTAATGTTGCTGAGGTTAAACAGGCAGCTCCAAACAAAATAAAGAAAATCAAATCTCCCGCTGAGAAATTTGGAATTCAGGGTCGTAGCTTTCTCAGCTCGTCTGAAGGAGATTTAAGTACGAAACAAAAATCGAATTTCAAAAGTAAAGGAAGTTAAGAGAACGTATACGTTTAGTTTCAAGAAAGTTTAAACGAAGAGTTTTGAAGAGGTAAAAAGAAGCTAGAACAAAAGACAGCAAGGCCTTTTTATTGATTCCGCTAGGTAGTGACGTCAATTTTGGGGATGGTCTCACAAACGTCGCTAAGATGTTAACTTTTGGGATAAAGAAATATACGTTGCGCGTATTTCTCTTTGATCTCTCTCTCCACAATATCGACATTTGGAAAAATACTTAGTTCTAAACATTCGGATAAAGACAGTTAAAACAAGGCTAAACACTATGGAAAAAAGGTTATAATGGTTACATAAAACGTAACAAAGCTTGATTACATGTCCTCAGTATACTTGCTGGTTACTGGTTTTAACTCATGAGACAATTTAGATGTAAGCATGACAGTAAAATTTTGTTTATGCAATTACATGGTGATAGTTAGGCCTACTTAACAATTCTGTCAGTGTAAGCCGAGTTTTAAACACTTGCGTGTTATACCTTTCTTGTCCCCTTGGTGGCGCTCGGGTCACACAAGAAAAGAGTAGACATTCCACTTTAACTGAGAGGCTGGTGATGCCTACGAGCGTTTCCATGGATAATTTAGTAAGAAATTGTATATGAAACATTTAACTAAAGCATTAGTTAGCATTGAATAGACAGTGATTACTAGGGAGTAACAGGAATGACTTAAGACAACACAGAAAGAGGTTAGAAACTAGTTCAAGATTACTTTCTTATGGGTCTGCTAATCTTCAAACATCCCTAAAGGATAACAACAGGGTTATTACTTACTAAACTCAGAGGCTAACACTGCTGCTCACTTAGCAAGGTTATTATTTAAACAGAATAACCACAGATTATACTGGAACCTTGCTTGGTTCGAGTAACAGGGGTTTTTATGGTCTTTCTTCTCTGCATTCCTGGCTTATCGCACAGGATGTCAGAGAATGAAGTGGTGGTTTATGGCTCAGCCGTTCTGTGGAGAGAAAAGAGTCAGGTTGAGGCTGGAGGTGACCTGCTGGAGGGAGAAGGGGTCAGATCAGCCCCTTTTCCTGTCCTGTGGACTGTCTTTAGTGACACCTTTACGGCTAGAAAGGTTCATAAGGCTCTCTGAATACACAATCCTTAAGCGATTCATTGTCTGATTGAGTCTCTTTCGGTCCTTACCAACACTAGGCGATGTCTCTGGGTTTTACATGTGAAAAGGTCAACTCTCGGGGAGGGAAACTTCCCTCCCTCTTTTGACACCATCTGACCTTCTTTGAAGTGCGTCTGGTTGAGTTCACAACATTTGTTATGATCATAGTATTTTTACTATACCATATTAAAATATAGTATAACTAACCGGAGTTAGTCAAAGCATTTCCATAGAGAGCCACTTTGCATCAGCAGCACCATGCTCCAGTGCTCTGGGAGCATTTATAGCCCTGAGAGTTGAACACTGGATGACTGACAGCTGTCCTTCATGACAACAGAAGCCACAGAAATCCTCCTCATCAAAAACATGACTTTGATCTGCGTCCTCATCTGGACTCTCCTCTGCTGCTGCTTCACAGGTAAAGTCCAGAGAATCAAACTCCTCTCCTCTATGAACATCCGTCCCTCTGAAATGAAGCCCACAAAACCATGACGCTGCTTTATGTTTTGTCTCTGTATCCTCAGAGTCCAGAGGCCAGGTCACAGTGACTCAGCCTGGAGCAGTGAGCTCTGCTCTGGGAGGCTCCGTCTCCATCAGATGTAGGACCAGTCAGGATGTTTACTATAGCAGCCCAAACCACTATTTATCCTGGTACCAACAGAGAGATGGAGAAACTCCTAAACTGCTCATTTACTATGCTAGCACTCGAGCATCAGGGATTCCAGATCGTTTTACAGGCAGTGGATCAAACTCTGACTTCACTCTGACCATCAGTGGAGTCCAGACTGAAGATGCAGCAGTTTACTACTGTCAGAGTTTTCACTATATCAACAGTCAGTGGTTGTTCACACAGTGAAAAAGCGTCGTACAAAAACCTCACTCAGTCAGACTGAACAGAAACTGAACTGACTGCTGCAGCTGGAAGCTACT